TGATTTTAAAAAACATTGATTAATGAAATGTTTGTGTACATAGATGTTACCTTGGTAACCACATAAAAACAATTATGGAAGCTAAATGGTCTTCACTAAGCTTTTCACAATACCACAACAATTTGTTCCTGCAAAAAGTTATTTTACAAGCATGAGATGCTAATTGTGATGCAGTGTCCATAGTCGGAAAATGCAAACTGAAGTACCTACATTACCTGTAGTACAGTTAAATACCAACGCAAACCTTCATAGGTAATCAAAATTATGCAAAGCTCATTCTATTTTTAGTTCTTTTAAATGCTATCCCAATTCTACTGCAACAGTAATTGAGTAATAGAATGTTCCAAAGCAGTACACAATTGTTTATTTCGTTTTTAATTTTCAGAAGTCAAAATTCTAATTTAAAGAAATCCGCTACAGATGTGAAAGCTACTGCAACACACAAAAGTATAGTATATATTTCGTCCAATAAAAAGAGCTTACATCCTTTACTTGGTTTGTATTATAACTTCAGAAGAAACGACATTTCACAATGAAGTATAGTTAAATAATTTTACTTTTTATCTATTCATAGCACAGCCATACCAAAGTAGCATTCGACAGAAGACATCAGATCACTTAAAGGTCAATAAAAACGGTATTAAGCAAATAGTTTTGTCAGCAAGAATGTTACGTGTTAAGGAATTACAAAATCAATTAGCTGATGCACATTATCAGTTGAATGTAATTATTTTGACTCTTATATTCGATGAATATGAATATTCTAAATACTTGTTTACCTATTAGGAATATGTAACAATGACAAACACATTGGATATAATTGTATCTTTCTCTATAGGAGTTAGCTAATGAAAATAGATTATTGAAATCATTACAAAAACGACAGGATTCTGCATTAAAACGTTATGAAGGAACAAATGCAGAATTACCACGGATCATTAATTCTCATCATGAAGAATTACGGGTACTTCAAATTAAATATAAAAAGCTGAAAGTTTTGCATAAAGAAACATCTAATTTATTGAAAGAGAAAGAAAATGAACTTCTACAGTTACAGGTGAAAACAGATCATGTAAAACTCTGTTGGATAAAAACCAAAGAAAATTTAAATGTTTTTATATCATTTACAGTCTCAAAATAAACATTTATTGCAACTTAGTAAAGATCGTAATTTAGGAGAGAGGGAAAAGCTACAATCACAAATTTCTGATCTAAATTATAGAATAGAGCAACAACAAGATACAATACAGGTAATTAAAAATTTGAAAAGTACTATGGAATCGTTTATACCATGTTTATTATTTTTATTATTTTATTAGACACTACACAGAAAATTATCTCTTGAAAGTAAAAGTTTAAAACAGCAATTGTATACAGAAATTACAAAGAGGAAAGCAACACAGAAACATTTAGAAG